ATCAACAGCCACACCTAGCATTAAGAAGGGCCATTGATGTTTTCTTTTTGGTTCTAAGAACCATCACCATGGCTAGAATTATGCCAGGAATAAATCTATAAAATCTATTATTAATCACCGGCCACACTGATCATTTAAATGGGCCGCTGAGGTTTCCTTTCTGGTTCTAAGAACCATCACCATGGCTAAAAGTATGCTAGGGAAGAAAGGTATGAAATCAAACATCAATCATAATACCAGGGAGCAGCCAGAATATATAATGAAAACTCTTTAATTTCACAACAAATTCAAAGACCTAACCATAGTTCCAGTTGGAAAACTGACTATCCTAGACCAGGGGTAGGCAACCTTGTCTCTTTTATGACTCGTGGACTTCAACTCCCAGAATTCTGGGAGTTAAAGTCCACAAGTCATAAAAGAGCCACTGTTGCCTACCCATCCTAGACCAAGCAATGTCCAAAAACAGTAATAAATTTCTAGGAGCCTGTCCATTCTGACAAATTAGCCATCAATAGACAGACAGAAACAATATGTACCCACTTTGCAAAAAAAAAACACCTCTTCACCAGCAATCCACACTGAGATATGCATAGATTAACACTATGATTAACATCAGACCAACAGTCAAGAAGTAAACAATGTCCTAATCAAGGAACTGCCAAAGAAGCTAACAACAAAGACCATTTTTTTAAACTGCTAAAGCAAGCCTTAGGGCAGTGATGGCAAACTTTTTATATCTTTTAGAGTGTCCAAAAAGCGCCCTGCCCCTGCTCCCGCCCGCCTGCTTCCCCATCCCGCTTTGCCATCCCGCAGGGCCACCTACCGCCTCCATGGCCCGTCGCAGATCTCCCAGGCGGCCCTGCAGTGCCATGGCAGCCACACCTTCCGCCTGCGCCCCACAGCATCATCTGCACGCGACAGGGTGCAAGGGCGGAGTCTTGTCCCCACTGCCCAGCTGCTATGTCCTTGTCTGGGCTGCTGCGCACGGGCCATGCCCAGGGGTGATTCTCCTCCGGGGGTCTGCTGGTGAAGAGGGGGCTGCGGGGGGAGGTGGGGCTGGGGCGATGGCGCGCGTGCCCATAGAGAGGGCTCAGAGTGCCACCTCTGTCTCACGTGCCATAGGTTTGTCACCACTGCCTTAGGGTAAATTTCAGCAAGGCCCAAACAGTACTGGCCAGGCTTCCTCACTTTCATGATACACCGAAGAGTGAATTAAACCATCTGTCTTACTGTTGATGTCTTCTTCTTCGTCTACAGGTCATTTTGGATTCGTGCCTTTGAAATAAAAAAAGTCAACATTACTTCAGTTGGAATTGGGGTTTTACTCCTAAGAATGCACAGTACACAGTGCTTACTATTACCCAGACACAGGTGTTACCCTTGCTTACCTAGGCATAATTAGTGGAAGACCATCCACCTCTCTCCATATCCTAAAGCCGGGGTCTCCAAACCTGACCCTTTTATGACTTGTGGACTTCAACTCCCAGCACGCTGGCTGAGGAATTCTGGGAGTTGAAGTCCACAAGTCATAAAAGGGCCACGTTTGAAAACCCCTGTCCTAAAGCTTTAAAGAATACAAGACTCAACGTACCTTTCAGCGTTGAGGGCGCCATCACAGCCGAAGACTAAGAGGGCTTGAGCTGGAGACATTTTCTTGCTCTCTTTTTCTTCTTTTTTCTTCTTTGTTTCTTCCTCAGTCGTGCCCAGCAACGTTGTCTCTTTCGAAGAATATTCGCAGAAGAATGCACTTCGTCTGCTCAGTCTGCAAAGCTAGAAAACTATAACATCTTTTACAGCTCAATGGCCGCACCTAACATTAAAAAGGGCCATTGAAGTTTTCCTTTTAGTTCTATGAACCATTGCCAGGGCTAAATTTCCAGACCAACAAACAAGAAGTAAACAATACCCTAATCAAGGAGCTGCCAAAGAAGCTAACAACACATAGCACAACAAAGAACCTCCAAGACCATTTTCACCAACACTGAGCCACTAGAACCTAAACTGAGAGTAAACTGCATTCCCTTCAAGCACTGATGTTCCCTAGTTTGGTAAAGAAATGTCTACAACAGGGGTGTCAAACTGCTGGCCCACGGGCCAGACGTGTCATGTGGAAGCCACGCCCACCCCATTGCCGGCAAGGGCAAAACCAGCCCGATACATTGCACAAATGACGTCATGTGACGTTGCGAGTTTGGACATGCCTGGTCTACAAGAAAACCGCCAAGCTCAGAGAGCAGCAAGGATGCCTCATTTCAATCTTGAGCCACAAATATTCTCCTTTATTGGTATTCCTCATATTAAATTGCATCATCAAGTTTACTTTTGGTTCTAAGAAGTCTGGCTGGTACTAACAGTAAATAATAATAAGAAACCCTTTATTATCAAAGTATAACATGTATACAGTGAAATTGGCTGAGCCAACTCAGGCACTGGAGGAGGCTGGTTAGCTGTCTGGTTCTAAGATCCACAGCCAATAGCTAAAATTTTCTTGAGTCAATTTTTTTGCTACTTTTTAGGCATGTTTGTCAAACTTGTGACTGTTCTTTTTAGCCTTGATACTTTGTAATGTTTTTTTTAAAACTGCTAAAGCAAGCCTTAAGGTAAACTTTAGCAAGGCCCAAAGATTTTTGCAGTAGTTAACATGTTGCAAACAGTACTTGCCAGGCTTCCACACTTTCATGATATACTGGGGAGTGAATTAAACCATCTGTCTTACTGTTGATGTCTTCTTCTTCGTCTACATGGATTCATGCCTTTGAAATAAAAAAAAAAAAATCAACATCACCAAATGACCAGTGGATGGATGTTCAGAGGCTAGAAAAGCTATCAGTAGTCAAAGGGGCTTTTATGTGTTTTATCCTACTGTGAAAGAAGGCAAGATACAACGAATTGTAACATTGTTCTCTCGAGCAATTAGTGGTCTTCTACATGTTTTGCTTCTTTTAGAGCAGAGGTGTCAAACTTGCCACGTCCCGTGACGTCGCAACGTGTTTTTTTTGCATTGCCGGAGCTGGGTGGGCGTGGCCTCCGTATGACGCAACCGTCTTGTGGGCCGGCAGTTTAGACACCCCCGTTTTAAGGATTTGAGCCTCGACTACCATTTCCTCAGGTCCCGAAAGTTGCGTGTATTCAAGAAAGTCAAGGCTCAAATCTTTAAAACGGGGGTGTCAAACTGCCGGCCCACAAGCCGGTGGCGTCATACGGAGGCCACGCCCACCCAGCTCCGCCAATGCAAAAAAAAAAAAGTCGCGGCTCCCGTTTTAAGGATTTGAGCCTCGACCGCCGTTTCCTCAGGTCCCGAGAGTTGCGTGTATTCAAGAAAGAAAGGGCAACTCCAGATAACTGGAGCAATTTTGCCTTTAAGCTAAATTTTGCCTTTAGCCCTTTTCACTGCACCTGGCTAAAGTTGCCTCGTCTTTATTCCCGAGAGTCAGATCAGCTCCTGGCCCCGAAGTAATTTTAATTAACTTTCACCTTTTCTTCCTTGAAGTGCTTTTAGCCTGCAAAGACGTGGCTGAGATTACCTCTGACTTTATTCTGAAGCTAATTTTAACTTATTCGCCTTTGCTGGTTTGCTCCTTTTTAAAGGGGCATGGCTGAAATTATTATTATTATTATTATTATTATTATTATTATTATTATTATTATTATTATTATTATTATTATTATTATTAATAATAATAATAATAATAATAATAAAGTTGGAAGGGACCTTGGAGGTCATCTAGTCCAACCTCAGGCTCCGCCAAAGTTTTACTCTGCGAACCCGAGTCTTGGCTAAAATTACCTCAGGCGCTTTATTCCCGAGAGCAAGGTCAGCTCCTGAGTCCATTTTACCTTTAAAACTAATTTTAATTCTTATCCACCTAGGGTAGTTTGAAGCTAATTTTAACTCTTATTCAGCTGCGCTGGCTTGCTCCTTTTTCAAGGGACATGGCTAAAATTACCTCAGGTGCCAAGAATTTGCTGTATTCCCGAGAGCAAGGTCAGCCCCGGAGTCAATTTTACCTTTAAAACGAAATTTATTTATCCACCTGTTGGTAGTTTGAAGCTAATTTTAACTCTTATTCGGCTGTGGTGGCTTGCTCTTTTTTAAAGAGACATTGTTGAAATTACCTCTGGTTCCACCAAAACTTTACTATAAGAACTCGAGTCTTGGCTAAACTTACCCCGGACGCCAAGAATTTGCTTTATTCCCGAGAGCCAGGTCAGCTCTCGAGGCAATTTTACCTTTAAAACTAATTTTAAAATTACCCCAGACGCCAAGAATTTGCTTTATTCCCGAGAGCCAGGTCAGCTCTCGAGGCAATTTTACCTTTAAAACTAATTTTAATTCTTATTCACCTGGACTAGAATTACGTTATTCCCTAAAGGAAAGACTATCTTTAGTGACCTGTGGTATCGGCGTCCTTTTAAATAACACACCGTTGATATTACCTCAGCCACCGCTGGCCGTTTTACTCCGAAGAATACACGCCGCGGTTAAAATTACCACAGGTGCTCCCCTTACTCCGCGAGAACAGGCTATTCATTAGCTAAAGAACTCCCGCTCCCCCCGTATCTTACAACGTAGAAAAGTCTCAGAATTACCTCAAAAGCTCAAAAGGCCCTGCCCGGCCTCGAGCTCGAGGACTTGGGCCGCGGGAGCGCCGGAGAGAGAGACATTTTTGCCCCCGGCGCCCCGCAGCATCGTCTCTTTTGAGGAAAAAGAGACGCGGTAGCGGCGTCTGCAGCCTCTGCAGCGCGCTCGCTTTTCTTTTTTGCACTCAGCCTGAGGGAGCCCGCCGTCATTTTAAATGCCCCCGCCTCTCGGAGAGGAGAGAGGCCTCTTAGCCAATCCGAGCGACGGGTTTTCGGAGCAGCCAATCGCGGCCGAAGTGGCCGCGCGAGAAGAAACTCGCCAGGAGGTCCTTGGGTGGCGCTGGGCGGGGGAAGGGAGCGCGCTCGCGCTCGTGCGCTCGCGCACACAGTGGGCGCGCTCGCGCTCGTGCGCACGCGCACAGTGGGCGCGCGCGGCTGTTTCCCCCCCCCCCCAACCTCGCAATCCGGTCCCGGCCGCAGCTCCCGGAGCGGTTGCCATGGAGACGGCGGGAAGCAACGCGCGGCGCTTCATCCCGGCCAGGTGGGCCGAAGCTGCGCAGGTGAGGGGAGATTGGGCAGTTGCGACATTGTGCGTCAGCGTGTAATGCCTTCTCCTGGAGGCTTCGCCCCATCTGGGGGAGCCTTCGTCTCACCGGAGAGGGGGGTGGGGGGTGGGAGCCTTTGAACTACAAATCCCATCCCTTAGGCAGTCAGCGGATCTCCCGTGGTGCGTGAGAGGCCGGAGTAAGGTTGGAGGCTGCACGGCCCCTCCCGCAAAGGCCCAGTTTAAAAAAAAAATCTGAAAATTTAATACAAGAAAATAATAAAAAAAATAAAATTATGATTATATGTAGAGAATAGGAGATGCGTTGGACTACAGTTCCCATTAGCCAGTGTGTTGCAAGATGGGCAATCCCCATCAGCCCTCACCCCAAGGCTGGCTAATGGGAACTGTAGTCCAAAGCATCTCCTATGCTCTACCTATACCCATTATTTTATTTTAATTTTTTGTATTTACTGTATTAAATTTTCTGGTTGCAGTTCCTTCCCACCTAAAATTCAAAGTCCCTTTTTCTTTTTTTGTTTGCATCTTCTCCACCATGTTACAATCTTGCCAGGTAGCCCATGGTTTTATTTTGTTGTGCAAATATTGAATTTATTTTTTCCAGGTTTTTTTTAAGAAAAAAATCTAGGATTGATTTGTTTTGCTTTGCTTAAAAGTTATAATAGAGTTTTTGATACATGGTGTCTTGCCCTGTGAAAGAAATTGACCCAAGTTTGAAACTGTTTCTCCCTTTTTCTGTTATAGGAATTTTTATTATTAGGTGGCACCGAGAGTGTTACGGAGTCGGCAGCTTATAAGTTTAATACAGCCATTTTAAGATGTCTGAACTTCAACTCCCATAATTTACCTCTATGGCTTTGATAATGTTTAGATTGTTCCTTGTTCTGTTTCTGTATCACTCACTACCTCAAAAACCTTGCTGTTGATTTCAGATGGCAGCCCAGGTATCCGGTATATAACAGAGCCTCTTATTAAGAAGCTGGCCAAGCAAGAGAATCTGGCGCGCGTAACTGCTCTGAACCTTTCTCTCGGTAAAGATGGAGGGAAAAAATTTAAGGTATATGTCTGGTGCTTTGTACTTTAACAACCATCAACTACAGACAAATAATTCTTAGATAACAATTAAGCATTTCTTCCCAGGGCAGGAAGTCTTGTCAGGTGCCTGTTTGAGATACACGTATCATTTCCTGCGCTGCTGGATTTTGTACCAGTTGCAGCTTCTGTATGCTTTTCAAAGGGCAGCCCCATACAGAGTGCATTAGAGCAGTGCAGGAGGGGAGTGACTGAGAGGTGAGTGACTCTGCGCAAGGCTTCCTAAGTGAGCAGGGTTGCAATTGGCACACAAGATAGAATTGTGCAAATGGCCTGCTGGCCACAGCTGTCACTTGCTTATCAAGAAGTTGAAGGTCCGGAAATTGTGCACCATTGCCAAATGAGGGAACACAACCTTATTCAGAGTGAAAGATGGAACTATCCTGGAATTGTTTAGGGCACAAATCCAGAGCCAACCCATCTTGGGGGAGATTCTATTTTTCCTCCTCATCCAGACACTGATGGCCTCCAGCAATTTTACTGCATCACCTGCTTGGCCTGGGGACAAGATCTAGAACAGGTTATCACCAGCATATTGATGATAGCAGGACTCGTGTTGACAAATTACGTTCCCCGGTGGTTTCATTTAGATGTAAAAAGAAGCAGGAAAAAGAGACTTGGAATCTCTGGGAAGGTCTCTCCTCCTCCACCAGCACTGACTGTAATCATGCCCGAAGGAAGGAGGTGAACCACTAAAGACTTGCGTCCCCCACCCCAGTCCCACAGAGGCAGTGAGGAGGCTGCCTTGGCTGAGAGATCAAGGACCAGGAAGGTTGCACTCCTCAAATTTGGTGTCATCCACAAATTCCTCCAATGCAGTTTCCATGCTGCACCTCCACTGGAAGACTGAGCACTATGGATCCCAGGCAGCAACATGCTCCCAAAATATACTCCTTCAATACTTTTTTAAGTTTTCATAAAGAACAAGGATACATTGTCTTAATTTTGCAGGATTGTGGCATGTGATAGTCTAAGAGAAAGGTGTTTATAATTGCTATTACGTCAGATAATTGCTAACCTACTTTGCAAGTGGATTACTAAGGTGGAAAATTCTGAGGCACCATCTAGATGCTAAGTATTCTTAGATACTTTCAACAATTGGTGGCCTGTGGCAAAATATTTACAATAGTGTGTGTGAAATGCAGCTGAACCCAATGAGTCACCAAGGCAAGTTTCTTCTAAACAGCTCTGTGTAGTAGCCAGTGATTTATAAATACTTTTATTACTGTTAATAAATCAAATGCAAAAGTGAACAAACATCTCCTAGAGATTCCTCAAAGATCAGAGGCACTGGATTGGAAAGGCCGTAGCTGAAAGAAGACTACGTGCCAGAGGAGGAGCCGCCTCTCTCCATGCCACTCAGGGGTCCCAATTGAAGGAGTCAGGACCTCAGAATTGACATCTTAAAGAGCTAACTTTCCCGAGAGAGAAATAAAAATTTAGAGAACCTGAACTGGCCACCCTTCTTCATTTAAACAGTATTTCAAAAACATCTCTCCTTTATATTGCCAGGTGAATTTCAGTAAATCACTTCTTCTCCATCCGGGATGATGTAATGGCAAGGTGGGTGAGCTCTGCTCCAAGCAGCAGCTGAGGCACTGGCAGAATCAGAATTTTAGCATGCTCTGCTGGGTGGGGATCATCTAACAGAAACAGTCTCTGCTTCCTCTTGCTACATTCACACGTACAGCTGAGGGCCCCTACGTAGACCCAAGAGAGAGTGCGACTCCTGGAGCTGGGATGCTTTTGGTCCTGACATGGGAGGGAGGTTGGGGAGACTGGCAGATCCTACAGTGAGGCAACCTGGGCCTCTTGATCTGGCAAAGGATCTTACGAATTTCAGTTGTTAAGAGAGGGGATGATGGGGGCAAAATAAAAAAAAAAACATGGGAATGAAGACCAGGAAAAGTCCAGTGGGAGGAAGGAAACTTAAGACGGAATGACGCCGGTGGCAAGCAGGATGATGAGAATAAGGATGATGACAGCAATGATGCAGATTATGGCAATCATCTTGATATTCTTCCACCAGTACTTTCGGGCCACTTTTTGTGAGGTTGTCTTGAAGTGTTCTGACTGTAGAAAAAGATGCACATCACTTACAAAGAGTGAAGAGAAGCTTCCCTCCCTGAACCTGGGGAGGTGGGGGGGGAGGGGGGGAGGGAGGCTTCATTTGCAAATATATTGGCAGATGCCTACTCTGACTGACCAAAACTTTTTCTTAATAGCAATTTTATTAAAATTACAACTATCGTAGTAAAAAAATGCAAACTAAAAAGAATATAAAACTAGAAGGTGCAGAGAAAAAAAAAGAATATCAACTCTTACCCAAGCAAAGCAAGTGCTCCTTTATACGCTTGGTGAGCATGCAGGGTGACTTCTGCATGCACACCAGGCCACTGTAAGAAGTTACCATCTTTAAAAAGAAAATTTTATTAGCCCAGAAGCAAAACAGGGTCTGTGTTCATGAAACACAGTCAACCATGTCAATTAAAGATCTACTGCCTGCATTTATGCAAGATACTAATCTTGATTACCTCTGTCTTAGTATATTGCGCAGATATGGCTTTTTCAATATAATATGTGAACCCACAAAATGGTTCGATGAAATAATGAAGCTTAAATATAGTGTGCAAACATAGTGAGTTTGTTCAAACGGGAATTCCATCCAACTTTAGCCCAACAAACAAGGTTTAGGAGTGATGTGATAACTGTTTTCCAGTACTTGAGGGGCTGTCACAGAGATGAGGCAGTCGTCTGATTCTCTGCATATTGAACAAAGATGTTTGGTTTCTCTTCAGCTCATTAACTAATTTTCATTTCTCCACAGAGGTAATCTGAGCTGCAGGGAGAACCTACCCTTCTCCCTCTAGGTTATTTCACCTACCTTGCCAAATGTCTATCACAAACCCCACATGGCTTATGCCAGAGGCACTTTAGACCTCAACTACTCATTTCAGAGAATAATAAATAGCCCCAAATAAGACAAGGGGCTCTTCTGGCTTCACGGATGCCTCTCTCCTCTCCGCATGCCTTCTCCTGGATCGCTTTCCTCCCCTCAAGCCAGATGAGCTAATACAGCCCAAATGGCACAGCAAAGCCTAGGAATGCTGGCTTGCCTTTGACTCGGTTTAAGTAACTTCCTTCCTCCCTCATCTGGCTTGTCTTAACACTGCCATTCCCTATTGATACATGATCCTTTGTGAATCAACAATTGTATAAAAAGCAAAACAGACAAGGTTATGTTGCATAATCAACATTTTGCTCTTTTCTCACCCCTGGCTGCTGGACTTATACTCGGGAAGAAGTTTAAGGGTTCCCCCTCACTCTTGTCCTGGACCTCGAAGTGAAACTTGGGTGCATGTTTATTTCTACCACACAACACAGAGTAAGAAAGCCCACCGTTGCTTCCAGGTCTTCCGTCTTGTTGCGCAGATGGTCAAGGTTCTCACCCCTTGCTAGAATCCGCTCCACATTCTGTGTCATGATGTTCTTGACACCCTCAACTTCATTCTGGAGATTCTTCACCCGGTCATTGGCCATCCCTGGGCCACTTCCATTGCCTCCCTCCTGGTGAGAAAAAGAACAAGATTTTGGCAGGCAGAAGGAAGAGAAAGATCCTACCTACTCCTTTCCTTTCTCCTTCCCGTGCTATCTCTACATTGGAATGCCATAACCGAGATGGTCTGTTATCAAAGTTTCAGGCAAAGAGGGAAAGGTACCATTGTCCAACAATAACAAAATCTTCCAATGACTAGGTGTCAGAACCCTCAATGATTAATCATGCATATTCTCTGGGCTTAGGTTATTCGGGTTTTGCCATTCTATGGGGGAGGGGGTAGCTGGGGGCTTGTAGTGCCTCCATCTGCTTTGATGTATCCTCTATGGGGTGTGAAAGGAATGCCTGGGGCCATCAGCGAGCAGGGAAGAACTTGAGAAGACCTAACAACCTTAAGAGAGGCACCCTATCAGTTGCTTTCCCACAGCTCAATGTCACCTGTGGATTGGCTTGTTTGAACCCCGGATGGACAGTTGGGGTGGGGTTATTGTTTTGCAGGTTTAACTTATTGATTTGGGTGGGAAGCCCTCAGATCCTGCCTACTTTCCTGCTTTCTGTACCTGCCAATAAAAGTTCCTTTTGAAATGATGCAAGTTTTAAGTACTGCTTTTTTGTTAGAGAAACGGAGGCAGGTCCTTACACTAGGTGCAGTTTCCAAAGACTTCTAAAAATTGCTGACATACAAATTACCTCCTGGTATGAAAAGTATGCCAGGCATCTCCCAGGACCAGCAGAATAACTCCCTGCAGCCACCAGCAGGACAAGCAATACAGGCAGAACCAGAACAAGGTGTCCGCATCATCACAAAGGAGCTGCAATGGAGCCCTTTGCTGAATGGAATGGACATAAGCTAAGCATGTGAGGAGAGAAAAATCCTCTAGAAGATAAAGCTGTTCTGCATTTCTCCGAAATTTAATGGAATGACTGCTTCTATATAAAACAGATCCTGGAATCAATTCCATTAGATCAGAGGTAGGCAACCTCGGCTCTTTTATGACTCGTGGACTTCCAGAATAGCTGACTCAGGAATTCTGGGAGTTGAAGTTCACAAGTCATAAAAGAGCCGAGGTTGCCTACCCCTGCACTAGATAAACCAGACCAAGAGGTCAATTCATACCATCGTAGAATCATAGGGCTGAAAGAGACCTGGAGGTCCTTTGGTCCAACTTGTGAACTAGGGTGCTCAAGGCAGGAGTCTTATACCAGCCCAGTCAAATGGTTGTTCAGTCTATTTTTGAAAAACTCCAGTGATGAAGCACCCACAAACCTAGGAGGCGCGGGCAGAGCGCGAAGACGGAGCTTTTTCCGGAAGCCGTTCTGAGGCGAAGCACTCAGCCCTCTGATTCCTCCACCTGGGCCGCCCCGCCCTTCTCGTCCCTGCCCCTGGCCGGCTCGAGGCGGCCTTCCGGGCGTCCCGGAGCCCCAGGCTGGAAAGGCGCCCGGCTTCCGCGCCCCCGGGCGGCGGGCAGCGACACCCCCAGCCGGCGGCGGCCGCCCCGCCCGGGTCGCGTCGGGCCCAATAGCGGCGCCCCTCCCCGTCCCGGAGGCAGGTGCGATCGCCGGCAGCCCGCCCGGACAGCGCCCTTCCCCCCCTCCGAGAACGGGGCTTACCATGGCCGTGGCGTCCCGTTCAAGCCTCGAGAGTCGAGGCCACTTCCCGATACTCGGCGGTCCCCCCGGACGTCCTACTTGCTCCTCCGGCCGCGCCGTCACCTCCTCGCAGGTAGTCTTGGGCGGATCCAACCGCGGTTCCGCCCTCCCCGGGCGAGAGAGGGCTGCCCCGGTCCCGTGGACCGAGACGAGTGCGGGCGGCAAATGGGCCGAGCAGAAGCGGACGGGAGCGGCTGCCCTCTTCCGCCCCGGCTTCAGGCAAACGCCTCCCTTCACGGGCTGGACTAGAAGACCTTTAAGGTTCCTTCCAGCTCTATTCTATTCTTATCTGACTCCCGGAAGGTTCCCGCGGGATTCGAGCCGCCTGGAGAGCGAGGGGGGACGAAAGGTGGAGCAGGCAAAGTCTCTGTGCCACAACGCTGAGGCCCTCGCCTCAGGACAATTGCAGATTTTTAAAAATTAATTTAACGTTTAATGCTGTAGTTCATCCTGATCTGACTTGGCCAGGAGTGCTGAGTGCGAGCAGTGGGGTACCTGAAGGTTCTGCCTAAGGCAGATGGTTCAAATAGCTTGCATAAGTAACTGGAAAAGCTTGCCTGGTTTAAGTATGGCTATCACACCAGCCTTCCTCCATGTGTTGGATATCTGAACAGTGTTTAAGCATCTGTTATAGAGGTTGGATTCTTTTGTTTTAGGTCCAAAATGTGTAATCTGCTGGAGCTGAATCTTGTCAATGGCAGCTGCTTTGCCATTCTTACACCTGCCTATTGGCTCCTGTTGTAAAGGAACATGTCAAATTGCTCTTCTTCCATTTCTTGTTCCTGACTATCCTCTATTTATGTTTTTGTAGACTGGAATAGTAGCTGGTGGGCAATTTGGCTAGCTGAGATTTTGGCATATAATGATAATTTGTTTGTATCATTGTTGAGATGGTTAAGTAAACTCCATTGTTTTTGGCTGCTACAACTCATATCCATCTCCATAAGCTTAATCCATCATTCCCTTTTGTGCTCTGAAATGGCTGGGTATTCAGTTCTTCTGCCAGAAATGATAGTGAGATCACCATTTTTGACCTTGGAAACAAAACAATTCCAACATGGTTAAAGCCCTGTTAACATACATTGTGTCTTTCATGACTGGAGTAGCTGGTCTTGAGGGTCCCAAAGCTTGAGATTTGCCTATTCCACAGCTATTTCTGAGCCATGAGTGGCCTAATACTGCTTAACTTTGGCAGAAACATGCCCTGGTGACCTTTTTTTGGCTTTTATCTCATGGTCAATCCATGTCAGGCAGCATTTTTATTTTCCAGGAGTGCTGGGGAATAAGCCACCCAGGGGAAGTACACAATACATCAAGGGGACCTGAGAGCTCAAATCAGCTGGTGTGGGTGCACCCTTAATGCAGCATGATGCCCGAATTGGTCCTAGATTCTGCCTTGGCTCTCTCCTACCAATAAGCAACTGAATTGAAGATCATTTCTTTGATTTATTAGGATACTCTAGGAAAAAATATTCCAAATATCCTCTCTATATGAAAAGAGGGAACCTAGAACAAAGTCTCAGATTTCCTTTTATATTCAGTACAGCAGAAAAAAGTACAAAATAGTTGATTGGGTGGAAGAAATCATATATGTGGAAAACAACTGGCTCATCTTATGAAAAGGGCTTTAAACCAAAATTGAGGGGGCCAATTTTCACGACCTTTAGAACCTGATTCCAAACAAAAACCACTAGATAACCAATCAACTAAGGAGGTAGGGAGTAAAGAGAAAAAAGAAAGAAAAGAAAGAAAAACATAATGAAGTAGAGAGTGATGGATAAAAGGAAACAAACAGGGTGAACTTGAAGTATTAGTACATGCAGGCAGATATGATGTAGTTTCCATTACTGAAACTTGGTGGGATGAAACTCATGACTGGAATGTAATAATGGAAGGATACAAACTATTGAAAAGAAACAGACCTAACAAAAGAGGAGGTGGAGATGCATTATATGTAAAAGATCACTACATCTCTACAGAAATACACAAAACCAAGGATGAAAACCTCCTAGAATCCATATGGGTCAATATAAAAAGAATGACATTGCTATAGGCATATACTAAGGCCACCCAACCAAGCAGAAGAAATAGATACACTCTTTGCTAACCAAACAGTTAGCTAACCAAAGCAGCAGCCAAAAAAGCTAATACAATCCTGGGTTGTATAAACAGAGGCATAGAATCAAGATCACACGAAGTATTAGTACTGCTTTATAGAACCTAGTAAGACCACACCTGGAATACTGCAGCCAATTTTGGTCACCCTATTACAAAAAAGATGTTGAGAGTTTGGAAAAAATTCAGAGAGCAACTGACGATTAAAAGCCTGGAGACTAAACATATGAAGAACGGCTGCAGGACTTGGATTTGGCTAGTCTAAAGAAAAGAAGAAACGGGAGACATGATAACAATATTCCAGTATTTGAGGGGCTGCCATCAAGAAGAGGGGGTCATGTTATTCACCAAAGCACCAGAGGGCAAGACAAAAGTCAAGGCTAAAAAAAAGTTTCTTTCAACATATAAATAACAAGAAAAAAGTCAAGGAAACAGTCCACTAAAGGGAGAAGTCTGTTTTGACTAGCGAAATACCTGCAACCCGCTCCTCCCTCCGTGCCGAGTGTGTCAACTAAAAATGAGAAAGGAAAATGGCCCCAGCCATGCTCATTCAAAGTTGACACGAATAATCCTTTGCTATCCATCCCGAGAAAGTCCTTTATCTTGCAGTTAAAAAGTTACGGAGATCCGGTTGCTCCGGCAGACTCTCCCTGGGCCGCTCTCAGCCCTTCAAGGGCCCGGAGAGCGCCGCGTTCACCGCCTGCTCGGGCTCGGAGCGGGGCCTCCCCCCACTCGGAGCTGAATCCGGAGCGCCTTCTCGACCGGCGCCTCCCTCGGCCGAAGTCCACGGCCCGTTGGCTGAGCCTCCGGCCGGAAGTGCGTACTGGGCGGCGGCCTCGCTGGAGCCGCTCCTCCCCGAGCTCCGCTGGGAACAGAGGACGCGCCGCCGCCGCCGCCCCGCTGCCGCCGCCGGAATGAAGCCGAGCCGCGCTGCTGCGCTCGCCGCAGGTGGAGGGGGACCCGGGGGACGCCTGGCTCGCCAACACGCGGGCGGCCCGAGGGCGCCGGGAGGGCTGCTGGGCGGGGGCGCGGCGAGGGGCTGTTCGCGCCCCCCCTTTCGCGTCGCCGCCGCCGCGTCATTCGGGGGCCGCGCAAGTCCCCACATTCCCCGGGGCGGCCGGCGATGCTTCGTGTAATTTGCTCGAGCAGCCGCATCGCGCGGACCAGGCTGGTTAGTCCGGGCTCCACACCCTGCCCGGGCTCCTCTGGGTCCGCCTTGGTTTGGGCTCCCGAACGGGGCTGCTCTCCTTTGCCTGGGAAACCCTCCGCGCCCCGGGATGCAGTTGGTAGCGCGGAGGCCCCCAACCCTCCGCCGGCTGGCAGGGAACCATCCCCTCTCCGCCCTCCGGTCCGCACAGCCGGAGAGGTTGGGGACCCCCGCCGTGGAGGCCCGGGGCCCAGGGCGGTTCTTCCCCTTCCGCAGGACTCATTTGCTCTCTTTTTCCTCTGGTTCTGCAGAAGCCGAGACGCCGGCGCCTCCCGTGCCCCCGCAGAGGCCGAGGAAGGCCAAGGGAGCCCAGGCCCCGGTCCCGGCTTCCCCCAGCTGGGCCAGGCGCCTCCTGGGCCTTGAGTGGGCAGACCTGGCCAGCTGGCCCCGGATGGTCTGCTTGCTCAACAGGCCAGCTGATCCCGCGGCGCTGGGGGTCTTCCGCTTCCTCTTTGGTGAGTTCGGCTCTGTTCAGAACCCTGCCTGGCCCAGAGAATCCAGCGGCAGAAGGGCTGCCCTGACCCTTTGGACCCTGCGGGGCCTGGTCAGGCAGCAGTAGGCCTGGGTGGCTGCAGGGCCAGTGGCCTTCAGGAGTGGCTCGGGGCCAGCGGGTTCCAGGGAGGTCAGCCACCCTCTGCTCCTGTCCTGGCACCCCTGACTTCAGTTCATTTACCTCCAGCTTCAGCCCTAAGCATGAGATGACTTTTAGCTGCTCTTTAATCCCACTGTGGTTACAATGTTTATTTGCAATGCATGCTTACAATACAACAGTTGTTACGTATAATTTATTAAAATGTTAGATAAATTCTCTAGAAGAAGGTTCAAGGTGTTGTTTACCAAGTCTTCAAGTGGGATAAACTTGGGAAGTTTAGCCAAGGCTTTGGATCAAAGTGAGCTTGAATATTGTTTGGACCCTGAGGTGTGCGCATGCACACAACAGAACTGTGCACTTGAAAGGGAATTATCTAAATTATTTTTGTACAATTCTTTTTCCTTTTAAAAACTTTTTGTCCATTTTAACATCAAATTCTCCCTCAAAACCAAATAATTTTAAATGATTTTAAAATATTGATTGCATTTACCAATTATCAGAGGCCACTGAGTTTATATTTCAATTTGTAAGCGTGTCTGTGTAGAACCAGTTGGGTGAAGGGGCTGGACTAGAACCTAGGAGACTGTGACTTCTGCTTCCGCCTTAGGCCCAGAGCCAGTCATTTCTCTTGGCCTTAGGAAGAAGAAAACGGTAAGAGGCAGTTGCCAGGAGTAAAAAATGACTATTACACTTTCTGGATTTTAAGAAATACACATTATATAGATTGGCAATTTACTTGTATTGTAGCACACAAATCTATACTTGATTTGGGGAAAACTGCCCAAAAATTTCTTTCCAAAAAAGTCATGTCAGAAATCAGAGGAAACATTGTATCTAAAAAATTGAAATTCTTAGTGACAAATGAGAGGTTTTGTGCTATTTTCTATGGAAGGGATGTTAACATAATGTTCACTCAGCCTACCAAGAGTTTGGTTTTGATTTCATAATGTGAGGATCCAGCCATTTTTGGAAAGGGCACCATCCCCATATGCTAGATCAGTGGTTCTCAACCTTTTTAATGCCGTGACCTCCAACTGGTCGTAAGTCGAGGACTACTCAACCGGTCATAAGTCGAGGACTACTCAACTGGTGCAGCACCGTTTGCGGAATGGGACTTTTGGCGGGCTCAGCAGGGCAGAGACAGCCTGGACAATTCCTATTGGCTTTTGAAAGCCAATAGAATAAAAGGGAGTAGCACAGCTAAGAAAAAGGGGGAAAAATGGCGGACTGTGTTGTTTGGTGACCCCCGTGAAATGGTCGTTCGACCCCAAATGGGGTCCCGACCCACAGGTGGAGAACCACTATGCTAGATCCTGGGAATAGCGGATGTAGCTGGATTTGTCAGGTCGTTAATGCCGGGGGGGGGGGGGAGAATGTAACCATCTGGCTTGAAGGAGGCAACAGTGCACACCCTGCACAAGAGGTCTTCTACATCCAGTTTTATTCTGTATGGCTAACTTCCTTACATCCTCCCTTTTTGAAGAAATTTCTGGAGAGATAGTGAGGCTTCAGCTCTACAGGAAATGGATTTTCTGAATTCTTTCCAATAGATTTCTGTCCTGAGCCTGGCACAGAAACAGCATTGGCCATTCTTGGTGGATGACTATCATCAGCACCTAGAGTATATCTTCCCCAGTCCTATTATACCTTCTACCAGCATCCAGTATCCTCCATCATGCTGTCCTTCTGGCCTGCTTGGGAAGGTTGGAGATGTTCTGCAATGCTTCTGCTTCTTTCTGAGCAGGTGGCTTCAGCCAAATTATGCAGTCCTGGCTGTGGTTGCTCCAGTGTGGACTACCCAAAAGTTTCAGTCCTGTGCTATTTAATATGTATGCGAATCTGCTTTGGGATGGTTTGAGCTTCACATCTACGGTCTTACCCTGGTGTTTGGAAGCTGAAAGCTAAGACTAAATCTCAGCCTTGCTGCTTGCAAATGATCAATTTAGCTTGATACTGGGCTCTAGATTAGCACTGAGTAGGGTCATGGCTCTCCCTATTAAAGCAGATCTGTGACATGGGGGGTTCTAGATCATAGCTCCTGCTCAAACATAAAGTGGCCTGGTGATTTTGAATAAGAAAATATGTAAAACCAGATGGGTGGTGTTATTTGACTTCTGGGAATTGAACAAAATGAGAGCTGGGTGGTAAGTAAATTGGTTGCCAGTTGACCTTATGATGGGAAAGATTGACATAATTACCATAAGTCCTTCAGCATTGGTGAAAATCACGTGGACAATGTGTGCGCAGTCCATCTCAAGCCTCTGTGCATGGCTGCACTGGGCAGAGGTTAGACTACAGAATTTCTAAGGTCGCTTCCATTTCTTCTATTACTTGATTCCAGTTGATTGACAGTGATCATGCAGAGTCACTTAGGAGCTCTTCTCCAGAACTCTTCCAGCCACTCAAGGATTACAGCTTGGGCCAGTATCATCCCAGTCCCTGTTTAGTGAATTCCTGGCTCAGTGCGGAAGATACAGAGAGCCTGGCCTGCTACTGTTGCTGACTCCCATTTTTCTGCTCCTGTTTCAGGTCTGCTGATGGCCTTGGACATTCCCCAAGAGCGAGGTTTGAGCTATCTGGATCACAAATACCTGGATGGGCTGCAGGTTTGTCGCTTCCCCCTCTTCAACTTCCTGGAGCCACTTCCCCTGGACTGGATGTATCTTGTCTACACAGTGATGCTGTTGGGTGAGGACCCATAACCCAATGGGGTTGTGCACAGGGATTGGGGGTAACGTGGGTGTGCTAACTGAGCCCCCTTTCTCTGGCTTCCTGACTTTTGTGTTGTTTTCCCTCCTGGGCCTTGTTGCAATATATGTTGCTGCCCAGAGTCAGAGAGCAACATTGCAACCCAGCCCTCTCAGCCATCCCGCTGTGTGATCCCCCGGAGTTGGAAGTGAAAAGCCAGGCCTGGGAAAATGGCAGGCAGTGCAACAAACATGAGACGTTGAACCCCAGAGTTTCTCACGAGGTGGAGCTGGGGAAGAGGGGAAACAAGGGGATTGCTTGGGATGAAGGGAACTGGAGTTTTATAAGGGCAGTGGTTCCCAACCTTTTCTATATCCCGCACCCCTAGAACGCTTCTGATATATTCTCGCATCTCTTACAGAAGTTCAAAATAACGGCAATGAGTTATGCATATACACTATAATTTTGAAAACCCAAGTTTTCGCACCCCTGGAATATTGTCTCGCCCCCCCCCCAGTTGGGAATCCCTGTATAAGGGAAAAAGAAGGTAATTAGAGAACCCTAGAAAATTTAGACAGCTCTGGCGGTTGAACATTTACTGGTTCCCGTGTAGTCTGAAGCCCACCAGCAATCAAGAGTAGCCCCATAGAAAGACAGCTTGTTCCAGAGTGGCCCCATGAAAGGACAGCCAAGGCCAGAAGAGCAGCAGAAATTCCAACTTGCCAGAGGGAGAAGACAACTGCAGTAAATAAAATCTTGTCTGCTGCCAGCCATAAGAGAGTAGCAGCCAAACATAAATAAAACCCTTGATTAACTCAAGGAGTGGTTTGAGCGGAGGGCTTACAGCAGCGGTTCTCAACCTATGGGTCACGACCCCATTTGGGGTCGATCGACCATTTCTCGGGGGTCGCCAAACAAGGCGATCCGCCATTTTTCCCCCTCGGGGGGCGGCGCCGTGCATGCGCACCGTGCATGGGGGCGGCGCCGTGCATGCGCACCGTGCATGGGGGCGGCGCCGTGCATGCGCACCGTGCATGGGGGGCGCCGCCGTGCACGGGGTGGTGCCGCGCATGTGCGCCGCGCATGGGGGCGCCGCCACGCACGTGCGCCGCACATGGGGCGCCTCCGCGCAGGGGGGGCGCACGCCGCACAGGGGCGCCACCGCGCAGGGGCGCCGCCTGCAGGGGGGCGCCGCCACGCATGCGGGGCACATTTGTGTGACGGGGGTCGCCGTCACACAAACGTTGAGAAGCACTGGCTTACAGGCTGGATTAGACATTGCCTCGGCTTGGAATACAAGTGCGGCAGTAAATTAACATTGTTCTTTTACTGTATACCAAACTCTTGTACAAAAGCTATAAAGAGGTGGGGAGATGAAGCTTGTTTTTCCTCTATTAGCTGAATGCTGCATAAATAATCTTGCACTACTGAAAACAAAGCCAAGATTTGTTTCCAGTTTGTGTTAAAGATAAAGCGGAAAAAAGTATTCACAAGAAAGTGCTGGAACTTGTCTGGTTGATCCTGAGCACCCGAGGGCCTTGGGATCACAGCTCTCACCTCCCTCGCCTCTTTCCTTAGGTGCTGTGGGCATCATGCTGGGCTGCTTTTACCGACTCAGTTGCCTCCTCTTCCTGCTGCCCTACTGGTATATCTTCTTCCTGGACAAAACCACTTGGAACAACCACTCCTACTTGTATGGCCTCCTGGGGTTCCAGCTGCTCTTCATGAATGCAGATCGCTATTGGTAAGCTTCGTTGCTCTTGGTGGGCTTTGGCAAAGCACATCTTGCCTTTTTTCCCCTTCAGATCAAGGCTTTGATAAGCAAACGTGTTTCCTGTCATTCCAGTTGCATAATTTAAATTTGACATTTGCCCCAGCTTGGAATCCGCCAGTTCCCAGTGGGGAGTCACATGATGCAGCAGAAAAAAACCTGCATTCCAGCCACAGAAGTTGTCATGGTAGTGAAGAAACGACTGCTACAAAATAGCACTTCAGGTGACAGAACAAACCTCAGCCCAGACCACGTATGTGCCATGCTGGACTTTCTACTTTATCACTGCCTATTTTAAATACAATGAAGGTTTCTACAAACAAAAATATGCCTGCACCATGGGTTCATCTGTGTCCCCCCCCACTGTGGCCAATCTCTAACATGGAACATAGAAGCCAAAGCCCTAAACTCCTTCACCTTTCACTGGTACAGGTATGTGGACGATACTTGGATCAAGATTAAAACACAGGAAGTGAAAGCCTTCACTAAACACATCAACTCTGTGAACAAATACATTAAGTATTTGTTCACAGAGTTGATGTGCTCCGCCCACTGGAGCACAAAATGTAAATACTGGGCTGAAGGTTTGCCTAGCAGCGAAGAAGGAAAAGAAAAAGAACTAAAACACATCAAAGAAGTCTATGGCTATCCCAAATGGGCCTTCATCAAATCCAGAAAAAGACCCAGCAGGAGCTCCTCCATAACAGACAAAGAAGAGAACAACACATGAAGCAATGTTGTTATTCCATACATTGCAGGAGTATCTGAAAAGCTCAGGAGGATTTTCAACCAACTCAACATACGTGCACACTTTAGCCCCAAGAATACATTAAGGCAGAAGCTTGTCCACCCCAAGGATAAAACACCCAGACACAAACTGAGCAATGTAATATATGCAGTACAGTGCAGTGAGACGTGCAGATCCATACATTGGAGAAATAGAACAACCACTTCACAAATGCATGGCACAACATAGAACAAACCTATCAGGACAAGATTTAGCAGTCCATCTGCATTTAAAAAAGACCACTATTTTGAAGATAGCAAAGTCCACATTCTGGACAGAGAGGGCCACCGGTTTGAAAGGGGTCAAAGAGACCATCTATGTCAACATTGAACAGCCCTCTCTCAACATAGGGGGAGGGATACACCACCACCAGAGTTCTGAAGGAGCTGGCAGATGTTATCTCAGAACCATTGCATCATATCTTTCAAAAGCACCGAGGAAGTACCTGAGGATTGGAAAAGGACTGATGTGGTTCCCATCTTCAAGAAAGGAAAAAAAAAACAGACCCAGGAAACTACAGACCAATCAGTCTAATATCAATACCTGGGAAGATCCTGGAAAAGATAATCAAATAACAGATCTACAAACAACTAGAAGCAAACAGAGTTATAACCGGTAGCCAGCATGAATTTGTTAAAAACAGATCATGCCAAACCAATCTTATTGCATTCTTTGATAAAGTGAGTAAATTCGTAGATCAGCGAAATGATGTGGACATAGTATATTTAGATTTCAGTAAGGCATTTGACAAAGTAGACCACAACCTGTTGCTTAGTAAACTAGAAAAAGGTGGGATAGACAACACCACCATCAGATGGAACTGCAGCTGGCTGACAAACCATACTCAGTGAGTAGTCCTCAATGGTACTACATCCACATGGAGAGAAGTAAGCAATGGGGTACCACAAGGCTCTGCTTAGGCCCAGTACTCTTCAATATCTTTATCAATGACTTAGATAAGGGAAAAGAAGGGGAACTCGTCAAATTTGCAGATGATACTAAACTGGCAGGAATAGCCAACACCCCAGAAGACAAGCTCAGGATCCAAAAAGATCTTGACAAACTTGAACAATGGGCCCTGTCCAACAAATTGAGTTTTAATGTGGAGAAAAGCAAAGTTTTACATTTAGACAGGAAAAATCAAAGGTTAAGTACAGATTAACCTAACCCTAACCCTGGCTCAAAAACAGCAACTGTAAGAGGGACCTTGTAGTCCTAGTGGACGATCACTTTACTGTGAGCCAGCAGTGTGCAGCAGCAGTAAAAAAGCTAATACAGTCCTTGGTTGTATAAACAGATGCATAGAATCAAGATCACTTGAAGTATTAGTACTGCTTTATAAAATCCTAGTAAGACCACACCTGGAATACTACAACCAATTTTGGTCACCATACTTCAAAAAAGAAGTTGAGACCTTGGAAAAAGTTCAGAGAAGAACAACTAAAATGATCAAAAGCCTGGAGACTAAAACATATGAAGAACGGCTGCAGGACTTGGGTTTGGCTAGTCTAAGGAAAAGAAGAGATAGGGGTGACATAATAGCAGTATTCCAGTATTTGAGAGGCGGCCACAAAGAAGAGGGGGTCAAATTATTCTCCAAAGCCCCAGAGGGCAAGACAAGAAACAATGGTTGGAAACTGATCAAAGAGAGAAGCAACCTGGAATTGAGGAGAAACTTCCTAACAATGAGGACAATTAACCAGTGGAACAACTTGTCTTCCGAAATCATGGGTGCGTTCACAGTTTTTGGTGTTTTGTTGAGCTGGAAATGAAGCTCAAGTAACTCCAAGGGCAGTCTGCATGAAATCCTAAAATTCTGTAGGTGACCATCTTCAAACCATAGAGAAAGCTAGTTTCAGATGGTTATCATCTGGAAGACGGAGGAAATTAATGCTATTGTTTCCTAATTTTGACATGAAAACCAATGCTTACTTTCAATAAAACAAAAGTGTTAGTATATGTTGTGCTTCAGTGAGATGAATGTAGAAGAGCAGGCAGAGCTAGTGTTGAACCTTATTTGACCAGATTCTTGTGTGTAGGCATATATTATTCAGATCTTCTATTCTTCAACCTTATGAATGGTTCTGATTCTTTGTGCCTGACAGTTATTCTGGGCTGTTTAGAATCAGCATTATCGAGGCAATGTTCAAGAGTCAAGATGTTCTTGAGGTAATTCACCCAAAGGTTTTTCCAGGGATCACTGAAGCTTTGGTTGGTTTTCAAGACTGCCTCCAGTCCCTACTCTTGCTAATGAGCTTCCTTTCCTCAGGTCTGTTGACGGTCTCTGGCATCCACGGAAGAGAAATGCTCATGTCCCTTTGTGGAACTATACCATTCTTCGCACGCAGGTATTCTCCGGAGTGGTGCCATCTTCAATCTTGGTTTTCTCTAGGAGCAAATGGCCTGCTTCAGGGCTAATGAATAGCTCCCAGCTAGTGTTGCTTGGTCTGCATTGCATGCTGGCACCAGAGTTTCAGGAGGCCATATGGAAATGGGGAAGCCACCAGCTCTAATGTATTGTGGGTCCCACTAGACCCAGAGAAAGCCTGGAGGATGGTAAGGAGGCAGGCCTATCTTCCTGCGATTCTGGGTTCTTAGACTTGTGAGAGGCCCTGTCAGAGTTGCCATTCAGTTGTAATATTTAAGATGACAGAATAGGTAAATTATAACATATATTGGGAGCTACTATTTAATTGTAGGTAAGTGTAGATAGATATAGCATGAAATGAAATTTACCATTTTTCTCATTTTTGCCCCATCTCTGTTCTGCTTCCCCATGCTTTTCAGTGTGACATTCCAAACTCCTGTAGTTAGTTTGAATGGTGAAATTGACCATGGAAATTTTGGCAGGAAGCTGTAACTTGGAAGCTTGTTTGGAAGTGGCAGCTTTGTCTGCTGCTTCCTGTGAGACGCCTGCTGCTGCTTGGGGAATTTTGCTGACTAGTTTGCCTTGGAGTCCCATGCTGTTGCCTCCTTTGTTCCTGAACAGATCTTCATCGTTTATTTCATTGCGGGCATCAAGAAGCTGGATGCTGACTGGGTGGAGGGCTACTCTATGGGCTCCCTGGGGAGGCATTGGCTCTTCAGCCCGTTCAGGTGAGTGTTGGAAATCAGGCTGCAGCAGGTGGGTGGGAGAATTGGGCTCCCTCCTCTTCCCCCATCCTGGGCATTGCAACTTTGGATGAAGCCATCTGCCTGCTCCCTCAGGTTGTTGCTTTCAGAGGAACTGACCAGCTTATTAGTGGTGCACGGTGGAGGGCTTGTGTTGGATCTTACTGCTGGCTTTCTGCTGTTCCTGGATGCTACCCGCCCCGCTGCCCTTTTCTTCGTCTCCTACTTCCATTGCATGAACTCCCAACTTTTCAGTATTGGTAAGTTCTGCAGTATCCAACTGTTCCTTTAAGAAGCCACAGGAGAACTTATAAAAGTAGGATGTTGAGTGATAAGCATTATGTTAAAAAGGGTTAAGACTGGATTTTAGTTCGAATCTGTTTTTGTGAGGAGTGGTTAATACCTGTAAAAACTGCTCATCTGGAATGAATAATGGTGCCTTCTACAAGATTAACAATCCTTTGTTAAAGGTGGATTATTTTATATAGTATTGTTTGTTGGTACAGATTTAGTGTATGTTTGAAGGAAAACCAATACCACTTTTTGTAGCAGTAATGCTTTGGGTTAAAACTTAGAAGACTCCGGTTCAGTTCAGCCTACAATTGTGGGTGTCTTTGAGGCAGTCACTCTCGGCCCAGCCTGTCTCACAGAGATGGTCTTTTGGGGATAAAGTGTAGGGAGATGCCCACCAAGATGCCTTCAGCTCCTGGAGAAAAGGAAGGCAATGGATTTAACAAAAGTTTTAAATAAATCTCAGCCTGGGTTGTTCACATGACCAAAAAAAGTTCCAACAGATTTCAACAAGAGTCTCTCCTGAGCACATCTGAAGATGCTGGGTGTCCAGGCAGATATTTATGTATGCAAAGCAGATGATCGGTCTTTTGAGTGAACAGCCTACATCTGTCCTTCCATCATACTCCCAACTTTTCATCCCAAAGGCATGTTTTCTTACACCATGCTGGCCACCAGCCCACTCTTCTGCTATCCAGACTGGCCACGTCGACTGATTGCCAGGTTCCCTGTCTGCTTCCAAAAGTTTCTGCCACTTACCAAGCCTCCGCAGCGGAGTCTGGAGTGTGTTTATCTGGAAATGGAGCAGCAAAGGCCAAGGGGAGCAGCTAGAAAATTGGGTCTGCAGCAGAAGCTGGGTGCCATTTTTACTATCCTGTATATCATGGAGCAGTTCTTCCTACCTTACTCACACTTTATTACCAAGGTGAGAAAGAACCTAAGTATTTTTTAAAATATAAGTTGTTTTTGAACTAAAAGGTTTAGACTGGATAGTATTTGATTAATGACATTTTCCATAGTTCAGGTCCTGACAAAGTGGAGCTCACCAAGGGACAGAAAAGATGGAGCCCCTCAAAGAGGGTCTCCTCTGTTGCCTCCTCATAGCAGCATCCCAGCCACAGAAGAGAAAGGGAGGGTCCTGAGCTTGAACGTGGGTGGGAAGCCCCTAGTTACACTTGAATCAAAGCTGCATAGTTGTGTTCCGGTTCCATGGAGTTTTAGTAGCCCAAATAGCCCCAAGGAGTGAGAGGAGTTAGGGGAACTTGGGGACTGTCCACGGGATGAGAAGTGCTCCTTATTCTGGGAATAGTCAACTCTGACCCTAATAATTCTCCCTACAGGGCTACAACAACTGGACAAATGGGCTCTACGGCTACTCATGGGACATGATGGTCCATTCACGCTCCCACCAACATGTGAAGATTACTTACCGTGACAGTCACACTGGGGAGATTGGCTATCTGAACCCTGGGGTCAGTCTCTTTTTCCTTTCAATGTGCATTAAAATGATACAACCTGGAGTAACAATGGCTTGTTCAAACAAGGGTGTGAACATTTCTTTTGTGCTGTACAGCAGTTTACCACACATCAGGTTGCCTGCTGCATGTGTGTTTGTAAAAAAGCCATGTGTCACGAGTGAGATGGAGTCTATACAACTTTCTGTGCAGAAGCAATAAATGTGCATGATTGTGTTTGGAGAGACAATTTCTTTAGTGGTCTTCAAGAGGAAAACCTTCCCATTGGTGCCTGCAGAGATTATGATTTTTTGATACAATTTTATGTAATCACAAATGTTTTTGAAGAACTACGTTCTCGGATTAGGACATCCCAAGGCTGTCCTTCCAAAACAATGTATATCATGGATCCAAGAATTTGAAAATTTTAACAACCTTGTTAAGGTTTTCTTTCCCTTGTTTCCACTGGTACTAATCCTTCTTTGTTCCCTTTGTTTAATGGGCCCCTAACTAGTCTTTTCCAGATTATTTAGCTCCTTCACATAATAATATAATCTAATGGGTATTGTTCTCCTAAAGGATTAATTGTAGGAGCAAGTATTGAAGCTCAGTGAGGAACCAGCTCCCGCTTTCTCCCTTGTGGTTGTTACCAGAAGGGCAGCTTTACAGTATTTCCAATTTGCTCTCTGGCCTGCTGCTGCTAGTGGATAAGTCTGAAATAAAACCAGTTGCCCAGAATATTTTTCATATGTGAGAAGACCAGCTTTGTTTGAATCTGTGAAAGTGGAAAAGTTTTCTCTGCAAGTTTTGTCTCTGGGCTCCAGAACGCTTTAGTGGCCATTGTCTATGGCAGTGATCCCCAACCTTTCTGGCTTTGTGGACCGGTGGGGGGAAAGACCAAATGATTCCATGTGAATGGCAGACATGTGCATGCACACAGCTCCATTTGTGCTTACACAAATAATGCTTCACATGCATGCGCGAGTGGCCTCAGAAAGAGTTCTTTGTGGCCTATAAAGCATTTTCAATGATTGCAAAACATGGCAGTCCCACCTTCCCAGTCATGGGATCGTATTCAGGGTGCTTGGCCACCTGTTTTCACTTGCCCCTGGTTGCCAAGATACTATGACTGCCATGTGTAATCTTTTCTGCCTCCCCAGAAATTCAATAGGGACGCAGAGTGGAAGAGTTGCAAGCCTACTAAGAGGACTTCCTCTCATCTTTTGGGGCTTTCCACCTCAAACACAAGGTCCAAAAATGGTTTCCAAAGAGAAACAAAATTAATTGTGTTCTTTTCTTTAATCAAAGCAGGGCAGTCAGTTTAGCCATCTCTGCTAACTCCATCAACTTTTGCAGCCATTTGTCCATTGTGGGAATCAAAGTATCCTTCCATTTTTGTGCATATGCACCCCTCTTTCTATCTTGACCCCATTGGTACCTCCATACAGTATTCTCACAATGGTTTCCTGATTTGTATACAGTGACTGCACCAACTTCCCCAGATTTTTTGGCACCCCCAGATCTTCTGGGGCTCTCCACAGCTTGACACAATTAACACAATTGAAGGCTTTCTTGCAGCCAATAAAGCAGATGTTCTTTTGATAATCTTGAGATTTTTCCATGATTCTGCATTGGTTGTAATATGGTCACTAGTGTCACAACCCTTTCTGAAGCCAGCTTGAACTTCTGGCAATTTCTTTTCGATGGTCAGTGCCAGATGTTGTATGATCTTAAGAAGAAACTTAGTAGCATGAGGGATGAGGGCAGTTGTGCATTAATTGGAGCAGTCCTTGGAGTTTCCATCCAATGGAATGGAATGAAATGAACACTGATGGTTTCCAATCCTGGGGCCATGTGTTTGTTTCCCAGTTTTTTTTGGCCCAAGGCTGTGATGGTTGTGGCTTAGCAATTTTGCAGTGATGATATCAACACCTGGGACCTTGTTCTTTGGCAGTTAGCTCATTGCCCACATGTTTCTTCCTAAAGGGTGGCTGGTTCTGTTTGTGTTCTCCTTTTCTCATCGCCCAGCCTCCTCAGGGTGTCTTTGTTGCTGCCATCCAGTTCTTCTCTACATTTCCTCTCCATCTGTTCTTGAAACTTTGTTTACCAGACAGTTCTTTCCCTTGCTAGTTTTTGATGATGCTTTTATGCTTTTGTCTTGGGCAAATGCATTCTTGGTGTGGCCCTTCAGGCAGGCCTCTTCTAGATGCTTCCAGCGCTGATCTTAGCAAACTGTTGGCAGATTCCTGAAATCTTGTGAAAATTTTTTCTAGTTGTTGCTTCTGATTTTATGGCTTTCCAAAAATAGAGATCATTCAGGCAGCTAACCGGTTACAACCAAGATTTTTTTCTTTTTGAACATCTCTTTCATGTACCCCTAAGTTAAAAGCAATGAAGTTTGGAAGGTGATGGGGAAAGAAAATCTGTTAAGAAGCCCATCCAGAGTCAAATTCAAGCTCATGTCAGTTGCACTTTGGCTATCACAGCAGCTACTCAGTATTCCCTGAACAGAACTTTCTAAATTATTGGAAGGCCCTTTAATTGTGCCAATTAAAAGATTTAGTGATGTCCACAGTAGCTGGGGATGAAGACATTTGCAAGACACTTGGAAGTTAAATTTCTGATATTTCTTGGAATTTGGATCCTTGATGACTATAACAGTATCAGTGGAGAGATCCAGAACAATATCTCTGCCAGTCAGATAGGATTATTTTAATGTATTGGGGCTGTGGAATGGAGTCTTTGGCAGAGCCTGGACTATCCCTTGTATGCTTAATCTGTACTTGCTCTTCCAGTTCTTTTAACATATTTTGAACCAACAAGAATATATTGCACTTCGGACCTGGAGCCACAAACAAGCTTCAGAGTACCAAAGTACATCTTTTCCTGGGCCTATACACTCACTGTGCAATTCCCCCTCCCCCCCAAAATACATGTTTATACTGAAGAGGATCTGAAAGCATTTAGCAAGATACAGTATGAGCCCACGAAAAGACACCACTCTTTTAAGGAAGCTCCCCAGAGTTGTAGTCTAAGCTCCCTCCCAATCTTTGAAGACCTTTTAAGTTTAGGATCTATTCTAAAGCATAGTGCACAGCTGCTTTAAGTCATATTGAAAAAAATACACTGGGTTTTTGAGACACTGCATTCTCATATTGAAGGAAGAGGAGGAGGACTTGGATATTCCAGAGAATAGCATCACTGGTTAATCTGTATATATTTATATCTAAATATAGACTGGATAAATAGATATGGCCTTATTACCCTCCCCACAATGTTCTACTGTGCAACCCATAATTGAGACTCTTGTTCCTTCTAGCTTTCTTGTGGAACAAAGCTCCATATCCTTAAAAAAGGCCATGCCTGTTTAGCAGTCAGGACAAAATATCCCAATGAAGTATGTTTATTGCCTGTGATAGCGACCTTGGGAGTTACCCTTCTGATTTGGACTTAGAAGTCTGATCCCCAGCCTCCACTGCAATGACCCGTCCAATGCTCTGCACCCCCTTTCTTTCCCCTCCCCTCTCTCGCCCTGCCTTCTGCCAACTGCACGCCTGTTTTCCAGCTGAGATCTGTATATATTGGAGCAGGTCTTCACGCAGAGCCGGCGCTGGAAGGACCATGCAGACATGCTGAAGCAGTATGCCACTTGCCTCAGTCACTTGTTGCATAATTACAATGTCTCGGAACCGGAGATCTACTTTGATGTTTGGGTTTCCATCAACGATCGTTTCCAGCAAAGGTTAGTGAGACAGCAGACGGGCATACGTATCTGCAAATTGTGCCAATTGTTAAAAAAAACCCATGTAATTTAGTTACAGAATCTTCAACAAATGATGCTTCTGAGCAAAGTGTTCTTTTGGGAATTTGTCATGCTGAAACATAAAAATTGTAAAATTGGGATTACTGAAAAAGTAGCCCTCATTTGGGGAGATTATGGGAAGAGGTTGGGATTGGCTAGAGAGGGGGACATTGCTTCCAGTCCTAGAAAGGAACAGAGGCCGAATCTTGGATAATGTTTAAAACATAAAGTTAGCACCATAGTATATAGTAGCATAATTTGTTTTTTGTATTTATCTAACGTTTTACCTGTCCCTATAGATGTTTTATTTTTTTTATATCTATATATCTATCTCTTAAAAATGTATTTTTGTTTTTTAATTTTGTGTAATTTTTGTTTTAATATTTTTTTGTTTTTTTAATAATTATCAGTTGTTTGTATCCCATCCTCTTTCTGGTGGCTTATGATCATATGAAAGTTTTGTTTGATATATTGGCATAATCCCTGGCTTCTATTCTATTCAGGAAAATGATGTATAGAAATATGATAACTTCATTGGCTTGGACAGGCAAAGAGGAGGATGGGCTGGTTCTTTCCACTGATCCATTGATCCCTGGGCCAGTTCTCCTGAATTTAATATTTTCTCATTCATGTTTTTCCCAGGCTCTTTGATCCAAACACTGATATTGTACAAGCCCACTGGTCCCCCTTCCAGAAGACTCCATGGCTGAAGCCTCTTCTAATTGATTTGTCACCCTGGAGGACCAAACTGATGGAGATTGAAAAGTCGCTGGACAACCAGACCGAGGTTGTCTTCATTGCTGATTTCCCAGGTACCAAGTTGCTCGTATGTTCTCTTAGAACCGGATCTTTGTTTTAAGCCAAGTCTATATGGTGGACGTTGCTTGAACATGAAAGTCTTCCTTCTAGGGCTAGGGTGACGACCCTGACTCTGGCTTCCTCACTGGGGAGGGTTCTCCCATACATCTGTATGTAGGTGAAGACATAAGCCAGGAAGAAACCCCCTAGGGGAACCAGCTTTGCCTCCTCCGGTGGGGCTCTCCCTCTAGGGACTAGTGGAGAGTTCCCCCCCCCCCAGCTGTTGGCCACTCTTCTGTCACTGTTTCTATAGAGCCAGTTGCCCCTGCCAGGGCTTCGCTCATCCCCAACTCGCTCCCACTGCACTTGGCTTCTTCCAGCTGTTCTCCTCCTCCTGCGCTGTCCAGACTTATTTAGGTCCTGAAAGGCTTCAACCAGGTATTGCACGACTTGCTTCAGGATCTGGTTAGTTGATTCCTGCTCTCCTTTGGATTAGTCCTCCTCATCAGAGAGCAGCTCCATCTCCTGTTTCCAGCCTTTCTTCCAGCTACCTCAGGTGAATGTTATTCACTAGGCTTTTCCCTCCCACTCTTCCCTCTTCCCTACCCCGACCGACCATCTCAGTTTCATGGAGCTTTCTGCTGTGACCATCTCTTCCATCCATCCGGTGGAGTTTTCTTCTGGATGGGTCACCATCCAGTCAGCTGCTACGTCTTCCGGTGCCAGGGTGACCACCCTGACTTTCTCCTCGTCCGTTGGAAATGTCCTCCCCTATATTTGCATGTAGGTGAAGACCTGGGCAAGGAAGAACCCCAATCTTTTGGGATTCCTGTCAAATTTCACCCCCAACGGTATCGGCTTCACCTCCACGGGCTGAGGCGGCCTCTCTCTGGGTCTTTGGGGAGGGCGCACTTACTGTAGGGCTGCTGCGGGGGGGGGGGGGAAGCCGCCGCTGCCACCTCGGGCACTACTGGTTCTTCATCATCAGCTATTTCTTTTGCTTCTTCCTCCGACCCCGGGTGCCACTTCAGCTGGGCTTTTCATCCCTCAAGGAACCCTCTCATGTATTCCACGGTTTGCTTTAGGACTGCCTCCACCAGCTCCAATTTGGGATCCACTTTCTTGGGGGGGAGGGGCTCTGGATTTTTCTTTTTAGCTTTTTTCTTTCCACCGCCTTGTGTGATGGCCACTTTCTGAGCCTTTCCTTCCCAGTCCTTTTTCTTTCCGACTCCGAGGGACCACCTGGTCCGATCTCCTTCTGCCGAGGGTCCAGCCTCTTCCAGGTCCCTGGAAGTACCTTCCTTGGGGTCTTCCAGAGCGTCAGCTTCACTCCAGGTCTCTATTTCAGCCTCTTCCATTTTGCTGGTAGGAAGGGACAGGTTGATTGCGACCCACCTCAGTAGGGCAACTGCCTCTCTGGGTTGGGCACTATGCAGACCTCGCTTTATGTAAGGACCTGCCTCAACTAGGTCTCCCAAGAAAGCAGAACTCTCGAAACAGACATTGTCTCAAAAGGAATTTTTATTAGGAGCTAGTGATAGCAAGGAATCAAAGCGAGGTCTGAGAGAAAAATCCCGCGCAAGCAGTATATCAAAAGCAATATTTGTTACTCCTCCCCCCCAGGTTTCCAGTGTCCATTTGAATCCCAGCCAATCCACAGGTGGCATATTGTTTTGGTCATTGGCTCCTTTGGCCTGCTCTTCAAGGTCTTTCTGGCTTTCAAACTGTCTTCCAGATAAGGGTGATATTATTCGGTTGCATTCCTTCCCCTGTGGGAAGGGCAAAGGGGCAAGGCAATGCAAAGCATCTCCAAAGCATCCCCCCTCCTAAGAGAATGGCAGGCTCCAAGAAATGGTTATAGAAGGATAGGAGGAAAAAGGAATACATTTCTTTGGGGATCTGATAGGAGTGCACATCTTCAAAAAGGCTGCGGCTAAAACAGAGCCTCTTTTTAGCTTAATAAAGGTAATAATCCCAGTAAATGATTAAGAAATGGAAGACATGATCTATTATCCACTTGGAAAAATAAATTCTCAATTGGCTGCTTTTTCAACAGCAAAGTGGTTGCAGCCCTGCCCCCTCCCCCAGCAGCTCCCCGGCTACTCCGAAGCTCAGCTCCTGGGGCTTCCTGCAGGCTGCTGCTGTTTGGAGTATCTTGTGGGGTGATTCTAGGACTCTCCCTAACCCAGGAGAGTCAAATAAACGAAAGGAAAGCCTGTTGCTTTGTAAGTAAATTGATGGTGTCTTATCCCTCCTCCTCTTTTGAGGATGGGCTGTTTAATTTTAACATAGATAGCCTCTTTCACGATACCACCTGTCTCCTGTTTACAACACTGTCCTTTCAGTTGTCCAAGAAGTTTCCATACCTGTTTGTACTCTGATTCAGGTGACCCCGAGGATACAGAGTGGCCTCAACAACTCTCAGAATGCAAATGACTGGATGAATGAAAAGTATATAAATTCTTCTATTCCCTACCAATCAATGAAAAGCAAAATGTTTTCAAAGAAAAAACCCAAGAAAGTCCAATTGCTTTTTGGATAAAGCACTTTTGGGTGCTCGGCCTGCCATTTCTCCCCGGTATTCCTTAAATGGGACCTCTTAACCTATTTGGCAGAAAGTCAGAAAGAACACTGACTCATAAAATTCCTGACTGTCATTGTCTACAAATAATGCTCCAAATATGGGCAGTAGGCCAGATGAGATTAGAGCAATATGATGTAATGGGTATAATGGAGACTTCCATAATTGGCATTCCCAAATGTTCAACTAAACATTTAATATTTAGAAAACAAATTTCAATACAGGTAGTCCTCTCTCGACTTACAACCTTTCATTTAATGACCGTTTGAAATAACGATAGTGACTTAGGACAGTCTTTCACCCCATGATCATGTGATCAAAATTCAGACACTTGACAATTGGCTCATGTTTATGATGGTTGAAACGTCCTGGGATCATGTGATCCCCTTTTGTGGCTTTCTGACAAGCAAAATCAATGGGGAGGCCAGATTCACTTGACAACTGTGTTATTACTTAACAACTGCAGTGATTCACTTAACAACTGTGACAAGAAAGGTCATAAAATGGGGCAAAACTCACTTTACAACTATCTCCCTTAGCAACTGAAATGTTGGGATCAGTTGTATTCATAAATTGAGGATTACCTGTATAAGAACACTGAACTACTGAAGAAGCGGTATGACCCCTCTTTCCTGGATGCCTTCAAGCCTTGTTCTCCTTCAGGATGTTTTAGTTGGATTCCTACCTAAGCTGCAGGTTGGCTCCATCTACTCTTTTGCCTCTCTGAATTGACTTTGGCTACTAAGGTGAAGCTCTTCCATCTTGAGGCCTGTATTTACCTCTTTGCTTCTTGATGCCAGTCAACCACAATGAAGATGGCTCTCTTGTCAGCTGGGGAGCTGCTGAGATGTGGGAAGAACTGTGGACCTGGGTGCTTCCGTGGACTTTGCTGTTCACGTTTGGTTGTCCATCTCCATGGCAGGGCTGCACCTGGAGAACTTTGTGAGCGAGGACCTTGGTAACACAAGTCTCCATTTGCTGAAAGGGGAAGTCACAGTGGAGATTGTCAGTTCACAGAAGAATTATACACTGCAAGAGGGAGACAAGATCCAGGTAAGGGCCAGGCTGAATGTTGTGTGGGGAGAACACTTTCCTGTGCAGTTGATGTGCTGATCCCCTCCCCAAAGAAGAGGGGAAATAGATAATATCACCTCCCCCACTCCCACAGAACAGGATCTCATAACACGATGAGAAACTACATCAGGAGAGGGCAGCCATAGGTGGGTGTGACCTACAAATCTGGCCTCAGGTTTCAGATGGAAGATTGGGATAACCAGTTAGAGGTTTCTCTTTGCCTCCTAAAGAAATATCTCGACAGTGCTGTGTTTCACTATTCACAATGACAATGCAGCGAGATTAAATGGTTTTGCTGGAAGAGAAGGAAGGGGGGGGCCTTCCCTGTCCTGCCCAGTGAAAGAGTCTGCCAAGGGTTGGAAGAAGCATGGCACCATAAGTCCGTGTGTGTGTGCATATGTGTGTGTATGGATCTACAGACACACACACATAGCTGTATGCCAATACATCTGCACAGCTAGCTATAGCCCCTGTGCAGTCCACCTGTTGCCAGTTGGAGTTGGGTTGCCCTGTGCGTCTTCAGGTGCCAGCTCCTCTCACAAGCTGGGCTATCTGGGAAGGCATATTACTTACCAACTTTAGGACCGGCCTAGATACTGAGGCTCCCCTGGCCCTTAGGAAGGGAGCCCTCTGCTGCTTAGGGGCTGTCCCCAGCTGCCTTTGGCTGCCCAGAGCCTTTGCCATTTTCTCTTCTTGGTCACAGCTGCCAGCCGGGGAGTACCACAAAGTCTTCACAGTCTCTCAGGAGCCCTCCTGCTACATGTATCTCTACGTCAACACAACCGAGGTGGCTCTTGAGCAGAACTTCACTCGACTTCAGGAGTTGCGGGAGAAAGTTCAGAACGGGACTGGTAAGCCTGCAAACAAGCCGGGTGTCCGGACAGGCCCTCTGCATATCAACCCTGGACTGTGACTTTTTTCTCTGTAGTAGCCTGGTCTTCAGAAGATGTTTCACCTTCTAAAACCTGTTTTTGTCCCTTCCCTCTTCGCAGAAACGGAGCCTCTCCCCCCAGAGTTGCAGCCTATCTTGGAAGATTCTCTGGAAAACGTGACAAAGGTAGATCCGGTGGTTCAGGCTTTCCTCCACCGCCAGCGGCGCTTGGAGGAGCTGCAAAGAAGACACAACGTCACCCTGGCCGAGCGGCTGCAGCATCTCATAAGCAAGAAGTACTTCATTTTCCGCAGGAGGTGAGAGAGGAACTTTTGGGTGGATGGGGTCCTTCTCTCTGTATTAAATAATTTTATTACAAGTTTTAGTTAAAATAGTAAAAGATAATACAAACTAAAAAAAATAAATATAAAACCAGAATAAAGGGTGCAAGAAAAGAGAAAATTAAAGAACAATAGATAATAAAATACTAAGAAAGTGACTTCCCACCCTCATCATGCCAAGTATAAACAATTTCATGATCTTTTCCTTTCCTGTAAATTAATAGATAAAAATCTCCCATAACCCCTAACTGTGGGCAAATCCAATAAATATCATCTTCTCCAGTCTGGGTATCAGCAAAAAAACCTAAAGCAGACTTTTGTGTGGGATGTGCATTTTTACAACTCTTGTGCTCTTCAAAAAAAAGCTCAGTTTGGATTGTGTTGTGTGCCTCCTTTTGCCCACAGCCTCCTGATGACCTGCATCTCCCTGCGGAACCTGGTGTGGGGCCGCCCCCCCCTCCCTCAGCTGGCCCAGGAGGTGGCCTATGCCAACATGCAAGAGGCCAGCCGGCAGGAGAGGGCTCCGCAGGGGCCAGAGCAGGGGCCAGAGCGCTTGGACCTCTGAAAGTCCTCACTGCCTCAACCACCGCCAGGAGCAGGAGGGATGTAGCCAGGCCTAAGAAGTCACCCTCTGTTGCTTAGCCAGAGCCCACTCCTCTTCCAGATGCCCCCTTTCTGCGACTAGGGGGCTGGGGTCTGAGCCAACGTGATCCTCTCCTGCCCTAGACAGAGGGTAGAACTTACCCTTGCAGAAAATGCTGCAGGCAGGAAGAGGGAGGGCAGACTTTGTGGGCTCAGCTGGCCAGCACAATTATAATCCCTCTTTGATGGAAGGAGATCAAAGATCCCACTTTTAAAACAGTTGTCTTTTCTTTGGTGGGTCTTATGATCCCACTGCGCAGCTGCGAGAAAGGATTTGGGCAGAGGGGCTGCTTTTAGGATACTGTGGCAGTTCCTTTATTAGGACTGATTTAATAAGCCAAGGGGGTTTCAGTTCTTTGCTGCCATGTGGCCAGCTAAGCAGCTTGTGGGTGGGAGAGAAAGGAATGTTTGAATCCAGCCAGGGACAAAAGAAAGCCGGTCTGGCTGGCCATTTCCTAATAGCTGCCTTGCTCCTCAGTGGATTTTAGAATTTCCTCTCTCGGCTTTCTGGCATTTCTGTTTGCCACGGATGCTGAGCCAAGGATCTCTTCTCCGGTCATGAGGCACCTCCCCCTCTCTCTTAGCCCCTATCCCGTAATACTCCGTACTTGCAACATAAACCCATAGGCATTCCCAGTTTCTTTAGAGTTTTACAAGGAAAAGGGCTGGCTACATTTCATGTGATTAAGACAAAATGAGTCTCATTTTTTAAATTAAAAATTATATTGTGCAAAAGTCTCTGTGTTTTTGATATCTAAACTGTGCAAGTCAATGTTTCTGTCATTAGCTGAGTCTTCAGGCTGTAAGAAATCATTGGCCACCAGCATCTGATGGTGCCATCTTTCCTTTGCCTTCTCTTCCTCCATTCATGTCTCCTGGCAACTTTGATTCTTCTTCATGGACAGAAATGTCTGTAGCAGGCCTTTAAGTAAGCTGCTCTTACCATATATACAGTGGATATAAGAAGTCTACGCAGCCCTGTTAAAATGCCAGTTTTTAATTGAATTGAATAGCTTATATGTTACATTAAACATGGGAAAATTCTGAAGTGATTTATCTTGGTCTGATTTTTTTTACATATCAAAAACCTGGCATTTTTATATCCACTATAGCAAATGGCAACCCTTATCCTATAAAGCTAGGAGACAGTGGTCAATTAGGAAATTATTACATTTAATAAAAGTCTAGCAGGTCTGGTAAAAAGCCTAGTATACTTACTTTAACTAAAAATTAAAATAAAACAAAAGCATCAAAATACACTCTTTTAAAAATAACATAAAACTGAAAGAGGAGGCACTTAGAAAGGCCCAGGTTACTGAGCCTTGACTCTACCCCATAGAGCTGAATGAAAATGATTTAATCTTCTGGAGAGATTGACAAAAACATTCAGGGAAGTTAAGGTGGCTAAAATGTGAGTCAGCAATGCGATGTACTTGCCACAGAGGCAAATGCTATCATCTAGGAATGCATGAATAGAGGCATAGAGTCCAGAGTATGGGCACCGTCATCCTTTGCTCTGCCCTAGTCAGCCCCCCCCCCCCCCCCCGGAGGCCATTGCCTGATTCTGGGCACCCCTGTTTAACAAGGACAGTGACGAGCGATTCTTCCCAGAAGCAGAGCCTGGCTTGACCTCCAGGTTGACCGTGGCCTAGGACCCTGAAGATGAACGGGTGTTTCCCTCTCTCCTCTCCCCCAGCACTTGTGTGTTTCACTCGCGTCTAAGGAGGAAACCTGAAATCAGCTGTGACACCTCTTGTGATTTCTTCAGTACCAGCACAAGAATTGGGAAGAAATTTGGTCCTAAAATAAAAACATCCAGTTGCCACGATTTCTGTAGCTGAATGGCCCTTCCCTTTCAATAAATCTAGTTAAAAAGATGGTGAGAAACCAACTGTTTAACTTTAACCAGCTGCTGAGGGCTTGGTGCTGGGTCTTTCTCCCCCCCCTTTTAAACCAACCTTTCAGTAAAGAATGTATTTATTTAGCATATGATGAGAACACGACAGAAGTAAGCACATACACACAATCCACATAATTATATACAAAATGTTTACCTGGGTATGGCAATGGCCGCCTAACTGGATGTCTGATACAGCTGTCCAGGCGATGCCTCTGGTGTTGCTTCGTGGAGATCTAAAGAACCAGAGAACGCAGGTCGTGAGCAATCTTGCACAATATGTTTAATTGCGTATCAGCACCACAATCACAATAATCCATCCCCACTGATACAGGGTCTTCCAGCGTCACACCTAATTCTGTTAAGTTTTGTCAGGACAGAGCAAGGCAGTCAAAACCAGAGGGCTTAGTAGCAAGATCACTAACGGTGAGGCCCCAAGAAGGTACCTTGGACCATTCCTCTCTCTGGGAATTCTGTGGGCTAAACTGGGCAGATGTTAAGACAATTGAATAGCAAAGGACTACACTCATTTAATAGCTAAACCCATTTGTAAAACCCAGTTTGGTGGTCTTTCAAAAGAATAGTTTTCAGAAAGTGCTGTCTGGCATGAGGTGGGTGGTGGAAATCAGTCTCCACTCTCTCCTGCAATGCAAGCCAAAATGGGGTATGGTGATCAGTGACCAGAAAGGGGGTGGGATGCCTCGCAGTAGCCTAAAACGACCTGCAGGAACTAATCGTATCTCCCTTCAGCTGTCAGTAAGGCAAACTTGTGTTTAGGAGCAGAAGCTCATTTCTTTCAAAGCAGAGGAGGAGATGGCTGAGAATGAGATAAAACAAGCATCATGAGGACATGCCAGGAAAAAATGAGGTTGCCAGAGCCTGCTTACATTTGTTGACAAGCAGTTAAGAGGAGTCCCTGTGTCCATCTGAAACCAAAACATTAAAGCATGTCCCAAGTCTTATTCTATAGGACTTGTCTTAGCAGTCTAGCCAGGGTGACTTGGGGAGAGATGCCATCATGTCAACAACCAGCGGCACCTTCCTGTTGCAGAGTAACCAATTATTTGACTTCTTCCTAGTATACAGGTAAAGATGTTGAGCAGCTGTGCTGTGTTGTGTATCTGACAAGCTTAAACTGGTTATAAGTCTTCAAACAAACCACCAAACCAACTGTCTATCAGAAGATCTTGCCATTAAGCCTGACACATCTGCATTTGATACTAGTAGTGTCTTTTCGCACAGAAAGAAGATGGGGAGATGGCATTATGGAATGCTACTATCAGTGTCAGATTCTTGAGACTATTTAAAAATCATTAGTTGGTCATACATGGGAAAAGTGATTTGCCCAGTATCATCCCTTTAAGCACCTCTTTAAAAAACGGGCTGCCAGATGTGCTTTATAAGGAAAAATACCAAGGATGCATGGTAGCATTGCCAAATAGAGTGCACAATATGCAACATCTTGTCATACATAAACCAAATTTAAACTCTGGACTGAATGCATTTTTCTTCCCAGTACAGGTGCAATGATTACAAATATATATACTGGTGATATCACATCTATTTTATGTGTTTTAAATGTAAGTCTGGAAGCATAGTTCTTGCTGATCATCACCCTTCTCTCCAAAGACTGGCATTTCAGCTTTCGTCTTTTTAGCTTCAGTGTTGGGAATTCAAACCTTTAACTCCATTTGAAGCTTCTAATGAACTTCTATGAGGAAGGCAAGGATGCTGATGCTGGTTTACATGTAATTTAATATTCTGGAGCACCTCTCCAGCAAGTCCTTCCATCCCAATAACAAAGAACATTTAGAGGTGAACAGGACTTATTTCAGTCAGCTCTCAGGCTATTTTAAATGCTTACTGTATTTATTTACATCCCACCTTTATTTTCAAACATCTCAAGCTGGTAAACATATCTAATAGACCAGGGGTCCCTAATCCTTGGGCTACAGCCTGTTCAGAACTGGGCTGTGCAAGCAGCAGGTGAGCACATGCGCATAGCTCCATTCCCCTCCGCCATGGGATTTAGCTGCAGAGTCCCCCCATGCCTTGATCTCCTCTTGGTTGCTTTCGTGAGCCGACATTCCTTGTACAGTTCCCCAGATCAAAATACGTCTCCAGATTGACCATTATTGCAGATCTAGCCTAATGTTAGACCTGCCCCAGGTAGATCCTTAGGAAAGAAAGACCCTCGACTCCATTTGGTTGAAGTGATAGGTTCTTTTACTAAGGATTAGTGGTTGCAGCAAAAGTGAAAGTAGATCTGAGTATTCCCACGCAGAAGTTACAAGTTTTTCTCTTTCTGTGACTCTCCCACCTTGACCAGATTTTCAGTGTCCAATAGCATCCCGGTCTGATGTTTTGGGAACCACTTTGATGTTAGGTGCATGGTGAAAATGCTTCTTTGGAGCCTGATGCTTCTCAATCTGTTTGCAGTGAGTTCAAGCTGAAGACATTCAACTTATGGTGATAGTGGAAGCACAGATGAGAGGACGAAAGAATGGGTCAATTGCAATAAAAAAGAATTACAAGCTAAAAACATCTCCTTAACAGAGAAGGAACTCAGAATGTCTGGTCTCTTTGAATTAGTAGGATTTTAGGATTTAAAAAGCAATGATGTAGATTAGTCATTGGGTTAATACACATAGGGTTAGTTTAGATGGCCTGAAGTGACACCGAGGCCAAGGGGGGCAGAACATCAACCAAATGATGAAAAAACAAAAGCTCCCTTGAGGAGAACAGCAAGAAGCAGTTTGATTGATCTGCAGACCCCCCCTACCCACCAAGGAAATGGCTTTCAAGAAAGACATGCCTTGGCTGAATGGAGATCCGATTGTTCAGACTGGAATAGGATAGGAAGGTAACAGTGGGTCCTTCCCCACTGACTTATTTTGGATGTTGAGGGAGCAGACGGCGACCACTTGTGGCCCAGTCTGGGCGAGCTTAGAGCAGGAGACAGTTCACCATTTTGTTGGTCAAATGGTTTTGTTTCAGTTTGTGATATAAAGTCTTTCTATGTCATGTAGGATTTGGCTGGTATTAAGACCTGAAAGATCCAGGAAGTGTCTTCTTAATTCTTGAGAACAATAGCGGCATTTGTGGCCAGGGGGGAAAGAGGGCTTCCTTCAAAGTGGGACCCGCCTGGCTGCAGCAGGTGTTTCTGGGCAGCTGCTTAAAGCTGAAAATGCCCCATGTTGCCCCGCTCACTTCCTTCCCACCACAGTGTGGTCAAGTGAACCATCTGTCAGCTGTGAAAGCAGATCTCAGAACAAAACCACTCTTGCAAGGGATTACAAAGACCAGGAAATTCAGGTGATTACCAACAGGTGCCTTTGATACCTACATCCGTCTCTCTTTCTGGCCCTTTGAACTGACTTTGATATGCTGTAATTAGGAATTGTTGGCGAGAGGAGGAGCTGGCCCCTGCTGGCCCGCTTCCCTCCTAGATCCCTTTGAATGTTTGTTTTGAAGTAGTGATCAAAGGGATTTTCAGAGACTGGGGGGTCCAAAGAGGAAGAAAAAGTGAAGCAGGCCACTATAAATAAGGTGGTGGAAATGGCCTTAGAGGCAGGTTAACTCCTTAGTCTCTTATAAGCAGAGCATCACTCTGACAGCCGTTGCGCAGGTGGCCCAAATGCTCAATAAATGTATCATTGAGTGATATTTTAGCCCTGGAAACTAAGGTCTACAAGGAGCTTCGGCGACATCTCCAGGGACCATCAAAGTCCTGCAGGGCAGAAGATGGAGGCTACCTTCCTTTTGGGGCTCACTTGCCTCTGCTCCCCTTTGACTGCTCTGGTTCTTGACTTCAATACCATCAGGGGCTCATCTGAAGTGTCCACTCCCAGGAAGGTGAGAGGTCATGGGGCAGCTATTTGCAAAGAATGCTTCAGACGAAGAGACTGTACTTAGCAGAAGTCTTATTTAGGCTAGATCCTGGTACCACTGAGTGTCTCACGGATGACTTCTGAGTCTGAAATGCATGTAACACATTGCGTATTGTTATGAATTTGCACTCGGGACCTGACTTTTGGGCCAGGGATTTGCTCATATACAGCTTCCTTCATTTCTTCCCCCCCTTTCTATTTGGTGGGGGTCTTGCTTAGGGAATTATCCAGCTGTTCTCCGGAAGCTAAAATAGGAGTTCC